ATCCTGAGAGACCTTAAGACGGGAAAGTTCTCAAGAGTCAAATTTCAAATTGCGTCGCACGACTTGACATAGTGCCGCAGTTGTTTTCGTTTTATTTTCGTCATCGCTGGTGGTCGACCGGTTTTTCCATAAGCACTGTCGCGACAACAGCAGATGCGGAGATTTGTTTCAACACTGAATGGCAAGTGATCTCCTTCTCCGAGCTTTCAAAGTATTTTGTTACGTCGTCACGCATCTCCAGGGGACCGAGGCAGACACGTGACCCGCCCAGCGTTCGGCATTGAACTTTTCAATCGGGAGCCCTTCCGAAGTCAACGAGAATTTCCGTTCGTGATCTCAGATCTGAGCGGAGTCGGTACAGTGCTACCGGAGAATCCGCTAAGCCGAGCCACTGCACGTTCCATTTTGACCGGAAAGTCCGTCGGTAAACGGTCCGACCGTGGTACCGTTAATTTAGAAAATTTGGAAGCCCTCCCTCTCAGATATTCATCTCGATTAACTCATCTCGCTGGCGATTAACAGATCATCTTCCTGTTCCACCAAACAAATCACCCGAAATGAGAATGACCCAGAAATTTTTGAATTCATTCTCGTTACCCGGACTACAGCTTTTCTCACTCCTTATAATCAAGCGCTTCCACGGTTGACGGAAGCCCTTCGGCGTATTCTTGGACGCGAGAACCTTCGCAAGCGGAATATTCTCTATCAAAAACTCCAAGAAAACATCGGTTGTTCAATCACAGAGCTTCCGCCGCTAATCGGAAGTCAAGGAGTCCGGCGTTTGGGATCTTCGCGTTGCAGAAAGATTGGAAACGTCTGTGTCTTCCAGATGAAAGTTCTCCCTGTCTCATAATTCCCATATCCTGGGATGAAAAATTATCGCGGTGATCCGATTTGTGACGCGTGTTGAGTTTGCTTCAGGCTCTCTTTCATCTCTTTCGACGTTCTCGTCCGAGACTAATCCCGAAATCACGACACCAGCCATGATCGTCGGGCGCATCTCGCACCATTGCGAACGCGTAGGACGTCGGGAGGAAATTTGATTTTTCGGATCCTTCTACTACCGGTAGACGGAGAATGACCGACATGAAAGTGAAATTGGAACTCGATTACTTCACAGTAACATTGTCGTTATTTTTTCTTCTTCCATCAATTCCTCCCTTTCGTGCTTTGTGATCGCCGTGGTGCCGATATACCTGGCAGTCAAATCATCAATTGCTGAAATAAGCGCGGTGTGGGCCGCGAACGGGATCGCGAAATATCTTACCTACTATTATTATATAATAACGATGCCCGATCAAAACTCCAATTTATCTCTGATCAAGCGTTCCGCGAAATCGGTCCCTTGTCAAGCAAAGTGCCCAAGCCTCATAGATAGCTTTATTCGAAGTTTCTCGAATATCTGCGGCGTCAACACTCCTTTGATGAGCTGAAGTTCGCTCCAACCGCATTCGAGAAGTTTTCCGACGCTTCTTATTGATTCATTTCTCCGTGGATATCCATCGTCTTCGATCCGGAGCGTCGCATGTACTTCAAACAGCTCAATCATCAGCTCGTCAGTGACCGGCGAGCACTTCCCCAAAATAGATTAAATCGTGGGAGTGTCTGCCACGGACGATGATATTTTTGTAATAGATAAAGGCTCCAAAATCACTGGAATGCCCCTTGAATAGGAAATCAGCTATCGATGGAGACACAGGAGCAGATCGAAGCTTGGATGGATGTCCAGGATAAAAGCACGCCGAATTCCACTTCATGTCTCTGTGCCATATTAACTCAGTGATGGATACCCCGCGTCTCAGTCTTAGGATACCCGGGGACGATTCCCCGATACTAAAAAATGTAGTAGGATATTACGGTAGTAGGGTTGAACGCTCGAGATTCCAGGAGATCGCTTTCTCACCAGCGTCTCTCGAATTTCATGGAGTCAGCTTGTGGAGAAACTTCAGACGAGCTGAACCGAATCTCGAGAAATCGAGATCAGCGCCCATGTCAGGAATATCAGTAGCTGAAGATACGGCATTGTGTGTATTCCGAAATGATTGAAAAAGCCACCGATCAGAATGTGTGGCATTCTCTGACGCCTATCATCGGCGAGGGCCTGACTTTCAACAGATGATGCGAGCGCAGCCGATCGCAATGGTCTCTAGACTGTCTCACCCATGACCGCGTATCGACTGATTTCCTTAAGTACAGTCCTTGGAAGGTGTTTCCCACCTGCCCATATTATTTTGGTTGTCCGGGTCGCGGATCTCCCGATATCAGATATATCATCAAGCGTCGCACTTTCGCTGCCGCGGAAAAGTCTCTCACGCTGCAAGGAGAGACGTGTCAAACTTGAGTGTCGAGAAATCACTAGGATTGTACCACAAGAATGAACTGCGCGTCGATCTCGATTTCGCCTCCAGATCCGTGTCTTGGCTGAATGTATCATCAGCTCCGCCCGAAATCAGTTTCACTCTCAGATTTTCTCCTAGGATTCCAGCTGGTTTCGCTCTGGGCCAAGAGTGATCACAATCACGGATTTCGCGTATGATGTTTTCTTGACTTTCGGTCACATGGAAGAGCTCTCTACCTGCGACCAACTTCGCTCGGAAATAGAACGTCTTTCTTCCATGAGCTTATCAAGCCAAATTCCCTCTTGGGAAAAGTCAGACATAGAATAAGCGTAAAGATAGCGTACAGAGCAAGCCCGGAATTTTCTGCATTTTCATGCGCTCCACGACATTTTGCGCGTTAGCCATAGGCAGAGGATTCCGGAAAGAAAAATTTGTCGGATCGAAAGCCTCGGATACCATCTGGACTCACGGCACCGGAGCCGTTGAACCTGTTCACATATCAAGGGGCATTCTATCAGAACGACAAAGTACGGTCGGCTGGTTGCGGGGAAAACCCGAACTCGTCGACCCTGGCGGAGCCGACCGACGATTCTTTCTAATCAAATAGATTCGTCTGTTTCCGATTCAATTACGATTTTCGAGGCACGGCAATGCTGATGGAAGCTCGGAATCTGTTGGAGCGAAAGAAGATTCTCTGTCGATAGTCTACCAGGGAAGCCAGGGGGTGGTCTGGAGCTCCAAGCGAAGTTCATTCATGATACCTTATGATGAGTCAAAAACCATCATTTCTTGCCAAAATCCGCGAAACCCTGTCCTGGTCCATTGATCCCCCTCCGAAACTCCATCGAGCGTCAATGAGGAGCAAGTTCGAAGAACGACTGAGCTCTCTGGGGAACAATATTCCAGAGATTCGAGAGGGAAAAGCCATTGCCAAATCAAGCGATTAATTTTCTCTTCTCTGAAATCGCAACCGGATCGTCCGGGATGAGGAATCGCTGAGGGGAGTTGACAGTCACGGAATCCTAAGATGGACCGCCTCATCTCACACGAACTTCCTTCGACGAAGCATAGCATGGAATCCAGTGAGTCTGAAGTAAATTTTCAATCAACATTGAAGTCTCGTGGCGTCATACCGTGCTCCGGTATCTGATGCGAGCCCGTCTCCATCCTCAGAACTATCATTATCCGCTCAGTCGATCCAATTGGTATTCGAAGAAGGTGTCAACAAGTTTTTTGGGGAGCGGAATAACAGAAATCTGGATTTATCGAACTGAGTCCATGAATCCCAAGCGCCCTTCGCAGATAAAGCCGATTCCTCAGACAATCCTAGTCATTGTGAGAACAGAAACTATCACTTCGAAGCAAATCGGAGCTGCGGATCACCGACCGCATTGAATTTCTCTCGCCCATCTCGTATTGTATCGAGCATAGAATCGAATGGTTCCTCATTTTACCCGCCTGTCCCCGGGTGACAATATCGGTCGAAGCGAAAGAATGAACCTTGGAGGAGGTTCGAAAGAGAATCCAGTATAGATCACGTATTCGTTACCCTTCGAAACCTATATCGCCGTGCATATCTTCACTCGTCTATTATTAGATTGGTTCAGCTCTGTATTCTCACAAATCAATTCAAGATCGCGACCCCCCCGGCTTTCTTCCAATCGAGGGGGCCATTTCGAGCTTTCCTCGATCGTCTGGAGGGGAAAAACGACGACTATGGACTCGGAAGCTAGAGTGTGAAACCGATTCCACTTTTCCCTACCACAAGCACGGAGAAATGGTCCTCTCTCCCTGGGCTCTTAAGTTTCGCTCATGACTTAATTGTGTGGGTATCATTCTCTCTCCTCTCGCACTCCACGATTTTTCCCCGTTGCTTGGCGCATGGCGTCGTTAAGTGATTTGGCGGAATTGAATTTTTACCTCGGATTCTCACACACCTTCCCAAGACAAGAAAATACGCCAGGTTATTATTTTTCCCACGCATCTCATATTTGTGAGAACTGAGAACGTCGGCTGCGTCCGGTAGCCTCATTCATAGGTGTTGAGAGATTTGCTGGTACCGTTAGCTAAAAGGAATCTATCTATGCTGGGGGCCGTTATCAATCGCTTGCATAACGGAAATCGAATGGGTAACAGGCCGTCGCGGGCTCCATCCGCATCGTCTTCAGCGGTCAAGCATCTTTTGCGGCTGGCGGGAGTCGCGCGTGCCGCCACAGAATTGTCTCGCGGCGAGCGCCAACGAGAATTAGCTGCTCCAAGTGCTCGAAGACGAAGCGGCGGTGGCCGCCGAAAATTCCGGAGAGGGCACCGTTTGTCCGCAAGAGGGAATGCGTGAGGGGGAGAACCGTTAGAGCACCATGGATAGCCCACCAGTCCATCTATCGGTTCGCGATAGAACGCAGGTGGCCCTCCGTGGATCGACAGTGAATCGCTTCGACAAAGTCGCTCATCGATTCCATGTGGAACCCCCCCCATTCAGGATGAAGTCGTTTCCGACTAGACATTTTCTAGTATAGGAGAATGTTGGACTGAAGTTCCGTAGTTGTTTTCTCCGAACTGCGAAGCGTGTTGTGCCGCCATCCATTCTGCGGGAAGTGACTGTGCGCGTACATCTTTTCAATTGTATATTTAAAAGTCGACGGTGGACGAAAACTTTACACGATGCAGCCGACCCAGGTGATGTGCTTGTTCTTCGTGCTCGGTGCGGCCTCAGTGCAGGCGAGGTTCCTGGTACCCTATGTATATCACGATTTCCGGCAAATGACGGATGTGTTGGTGAACTTGACGAACTATCGACCAGACCTTGTCACATTGTACTCTGTCGGGAAATCCGTCGAAGGTCGGGATCTCTGGACGGTCATGATCACTTCGCAGAGCACGGAAGACCAACTTTTGAAGCCAAATATCCGGTATATCGGTAACATGCACGGGAACGAGGTCGTCGGAAAGGAGATGCTCCTGCACCTCATCGCGTACATGGTGAACACGTACGATACGGATCCGCAAATGAAATGGTTCCTTGAGAACACGATAGTGCATATCATGCCCACGATGAACCCCGACGGCATGGAGCGATCGCAACACGGGAACTGTGTAGGAATCACCGGTAGGAACAACGCGGCGGACTTCGATTTGAACAGAAATTTCCCTGTCGTCGTCGGTACTGGCCAATCCCAGAAGGAACAACCGGAAACCAGCGCTGTTATGCGATGGATGAATGTTGTGCCCTTCGTTCTCAGTGCTAATCTTCACGGAGGAGCTCTCTTGGTCCGTTTCCCATTCGACAACGGAGTCGGTGAGTTTCTTCCTCTGCTTTCGATATCCCTCAGGGATAGAGGAAAGATTTCCGATGATCTTCGAAAAACTGTCGAAGCCCGCTCTGTCTCCGGATGGCTCAATAGGTGAAACCTACCTTTGAAATCACCCAGCTCGGACGCTCGCGTGCTAGATTGACCAACGGAACGATCTAGCGATTAGGTGATCGTCGTGGCATTACCGTCAACTCCTGTCTCTGATGACCATGACTTGAATCGGGCAGCTCTGCGATAAGCATTCACTTTTCGATATCCACTGTTTCGATTCCTCAGTCTTGTCTGAGGTTCTCTCGCATTCACGGAATGCTCCCGATCAGAGCAAGGAAAACGACAAAGACCTTCAGATTATCGTGGCTTTCCATTGTTCCCTCAAAGGAACAGCTCTGAAGTGGAACCGATTGTCCCGCATGCTTTTTTTTCTGTATAAACGGTTACATTGATAAGTATTTCGGGTGAGTTCGCTTGCTCGTTGGAGCAGAGTGGAGAACTTTCCGCAAATAGTTCAATCATACCCAGGCCGTATGTTGCATGATACCGGAAAGAGAAATCGCGATGTTTTGGGAAACTTCCCCCATTCGAGAAACGCCTGCGGAAATTCGAGCGCGTACAGCGATCGGAATCGATTCGCATCCTCTTCTGAGGCGGAGAACATTCTCACAATCTCTCAGCCGGCTCCAGAGCCTGAAAAGCTGACTCCTGAGCTTGCTCGCCTAGACCAATCTATGTGCGAATCCGATCGAATATTAAAGGGGCTGCCGTCATCCTCCTATCCGCATCGATTTCGATTTTTACGGCGATATCGTTTCGCCTGTGTTCGATCGGTTTCCGAATACGTTCCGGCATTAAAAAAGGAGCACCAACTTCATTCATCCAATCTTGTTCGCGAAAGAGAAGCTGATCGGCCGAAAAACGTGAAGCGCGCCCCACAAAAACACGCCACATTTCAGCAGGAGCCAAAAAGACTCACTAACAAACGAAACTTCGGTAACAGGCGAGCAATCACATTTGATATGCGCACCACAGTCGAGAATAACGACCCGAAAAGATCCTAAACGATTCCTGCCTGTGATTATGAGATGGGAAGCTGTGGTCTTCATTTTTTTTTGTCGATTCCGTGGATCCAAAATCATCACCGTCAAGCCGGGCATCGTCCTAGGTACCTACCTTGGGGTCTCCTAAAAGTCCGATTGTCAAAGGAGAACCGCGGCGTAGATTGACGTGGATGCGCCATGCCGTCAGAGAATGTGAGTCGTTTCTCGTCTTCAGACGGAAGCGTGTTACGGCCGGGAGGACGTTTCCGTGGCTCCCTTGTTTTCTTCTGGAGTGTCTCTCTCTCTGCAGAGAGTCGATTTCGCGATTTTTTCTCTCCGCACTCTAGGCACGAGGTCTCTTCCGCTCTGGTAGGAGACCCAGCTCTAAAGCTTAGCGACTTCGGGCTTATTTTGTTTTCCAAATCCAGACGAAATGAGGAGCTCGGCCGCCACGGAGCGTCTCGCGCTTGCGTCGGACCGCCTTATAGCTTCGCTGTGTTTCTTTCTCGTGGTGGCTAGTTTGTTGGCTGGCTCAGTTTGCTCGTTAGCGCGGTCAGAAGTAGATTTTAGTAGTCAGAATTCCTCTTCCGTCAGGATTCGCATTACATGCTCCGCAAACAAGTGCGGCAACAAAACGGAGCACGCGCTGCTTATCTGCATTTTGACTTCAGCCGTTGCGGTTCCGGTTGCATTAACGTCGACTTCGAGCGAACTACAATACTAGAGCTCCTATTCCTGACTGATGAACACTGAACTTCTCTTAGAACAGTTCGAAGCTGCGATCGCTTCCTTGGAATTGCACCGCTCGAAGCAAGTCGGCTAGAGTAGCCTCGATTTCGAAGCCGAGCGCCGCGATATCAGTGAGCGCCTTCGAGAGGTCTCTCAGAGGGAGCGATCCGAGCAATCCAATATTTGGCGTATTCGCCAGACATGGTCGAGTGATTGTCAATCAAAGATTGATTCGGCTGTCGATCTTGCTGTCCGCCCGTCGGCCCGTCCGTCGGTCACTTGCTTCAACAGTGAGTGTGTGCGTATAGAGATATTATCATTTGTGTCACGCTTCACTGATAGCAGGTCATCACGCTTGTAGCAGAGTCGTGAATCGCTCACAGGCCCACCCGGGAGTGATCGACTTGCTAGTGGTGGTGGCACCAGTAGCTCGAGGAGCAGAACAAGCAGCCGCAGCTACTGCAAATGAGCGGAGCGCCGCCTTTCCGGAAAAGATTTGTGTGTGAATTGGTCAATCATTCCGGGTTGAAGGAGATTCCCAAGCCTGCGAATAAATTCAACAGGTCGCCTCCGTTGTCTCCCTGACGCTCCCCCTTGCAACATATTCGATCCCAACATTATAAGGGCCATGCAAAATGTTCGTACAAATCCGATTCTTCGAAGTCGCCGACAGCACCTTCATTTCGGTTGCTGAGGAGGAACATCGAGTGCGAATCATCGACAGTATCGTCTTATAGACTCATGAATGATTCCCTGACCATTAAGAGATGTTCAGGAAGCTTGGGCTCAGATCCGATTGAGGGGAAATGGACTTGAGGAAACACGTGTGAACTACCCGCTGATTTGTGAACCGCTTGTCGTGGCCGAGCCGAGCTCCCGGAGAAACTCACCGGAACCTGAAACCCGATGTCATGATTTGGCAGCTCCCGATGCGAGATACTCGCAGGTGACGCGTCGCTCCATTACACCTGACACGCTGTCGTGCACTCCGTTTGCCACATTGTCTCGTGTGGGCCATCGGGCCGAGCTGAAGTCATCAAGCCCCGGTCCCCCGCGGAACGATCTCTAGGAAGTAGTCCGCCCCGCATCAAACACTCAAGAAAACCTCACTCAGAAACTTCATATCCGTCGGCCACGTACGAGGTCTCCTCGACCCGCGTGAACGCCCACAGATCAAGGAATCATTTCGAGCCGCACACTGAAGTATCTTACTTTGATGAATTATTTCTGCCACTATTCAAGAGGTGGAGCGGGGAAAGTGTGCGGTCTTCAAGAGAGTCGTTGACTGTGCGGGTGAATAAGCGAGAAACCGTTCTTACAGAGTGATCCTAAGCGGGAATGAATGAATGGATCATGACGTTCGGTCGTGATGCAAGTCTGTTTTCCATAATTGAACTTCCTTCAAATCCCAATCGTAGGAGCGGTCAGAATGGAAAAGACCCCTCTCCCGCGTAGTCTCCAGCACCATGCCTGATGAATGGCCCGGGAAGAGACACGAGTTTTTGATTATCAGGGCTCGACTTCTCAGGGAAACGCGGCGTTTGGCGGTGAAAAAGAATCCGGAAAACCGAAAGCGGCTGCATTTGTAACCTTCGCAGAAATGAAACGGACACTAGTAGTCTTAGATTACAAGTGTCTGTGGGAATGAATGTTTTCAGTGGTCGTTGTTGTGGTAGCTTTAGTTGTGGTTGTAAAAACACGTGATGGGGAACACTGAAGGGTGTTGTTGATTCCAAGGCGCGCTCAGAGGCTAACTAAGTCGGCGTCACTTCTCCTGAACGACTGCGGCTGGGATTTTGGAACAATGAAATGATTTTTTTTGCGGCCGTGATGCCGCTCCTGATAGCAAATAGGGAGCAAAATCGTTCTGCCATAATCTTGATCGTTAGCTCGAGTTCTCGCTTGCAAACAAGAGGAATCCGATAGGAGTCTTGCTCCACCAAAACCGAAGACATTATGTGGAGTCGGCTGACAGCGAGATCAACGGTCTCCACCGAAATTCGTCGAGATTACGGCAAGCATTTGGAGAATCGCTCACAATGAGGAATTTTCTTGGTCTCAGGTGGAGCTCAGGGAGCTCAGGTTTCCGAGCCCAGCGTCGACACGGAAAAGGACTCGGTCGATCGTTCCTATCGGAAAATCTCCTCGATGCTCCACCGCGGACGAGAGCTTTCCCCACTGCTCAACCATCGATGTGGGACAAAGGTCCTCAAGTATGGCGTATCCATGAGAACCCGCGGCAATCGGTCGAGCGGATCGCGGTAAATTCCCCTCTTCGGTACAGAGTCTGGATTTTTCCTTTTCGGACTCTTTCCGAGATGTTTCGTTAATTCTCTTGAAATGACCTCTTTGATCCTTCGTCCGTGGACCCCTGTTGCGGCAGCGAGGAGCGCTCAAGCATTAGCTGACATTGCCCCGACCGAGCGTGCGTTTCGCCCAAACTTGAAAATCGTTCCGACGACGAATGTGTATCAGTCTCGAGGCATTCAAATTTTTCTCCCAGCACGCCCATCAACCCGAATAGTCGCCGCACGCCGTTGGCACGCGTCTTCGTTTCTGCTCCGAAGAAAATCCGATCATGGTTGCCATTATGCAATGACGGGGAAATGATCAAAAGTTATCGGAGGAACACGACACTGGAATGAGGATGGTGGCTTGGACGGTCTCCATTTGGAAAGCGTCCACCATACTCATCTGTGGGGAGTTAGCTCAAATGTACCCATGCGCACCTTTCGAATAGCATCCCCCAGATAGGCCGGGAGTCATGAGTCGTGAGCGAAGGCAACCATCCCCGAGATCTTCTACACCGTACTAGATATCCTTCAAATGCTCATCTGGTCGTGAACCGAGCGCTGAGTCTCTTCTACATTTTCTTTCCAGAATACTCATCGAACAGCGCGCCAGATGACGATGTCTTCAAGCATCTAGCCCGTACTTACTCACAGAACCATCCGGTCATGCACCAAGGTACTCGAGAGATGAAAGTCCGAGCAGTGATTTCTTTAATTTTCCCGAAGTGACATAGGAATGGGCAAACACTGTTACAAGACATAATGATGTAGGCTCGTTCCGGAAGAGATGGAAGTTTGACGAGCCAAGTATTATGCGATTTACCTGAAATTGTGTCGCGAGAAATCAATTCATCCAAAATACGGATCAATTCATCGAACGAAAATCTTTGAAAGAACTATGAACATACGCCTTTGCACAAACAGAGCTCATGGTGAAGATATGAGGTATTGAGTGAGCGGATAAATAGAATGGAAAAAGAAAAATCAGATTTATCGAGGCTCGTGATCGAAGTAAATACGGATAATCACAATTTATCCGTGTTGAAGGCGTCGGATGCGAGCGTGATGGCCGAACATTCAAAGAAGGAATCGTCAACGGAGCTAACTGGTACCCATTCGCCGGCAGCATGGCCGATTACAGGTCAGTAGTTTGATCCGAAAAAAAACATTATCTCCGGAGCCTATTGCGCACATCCATGATAAAGTATGATCCGACGTGATCTATTTCAGTTATGTCCAAGGAGGGTCCCTCGAGATAACTCTGGAAATTTCGTGCTGTAAACATCCTCCTGAGCACACACTCCGACAATTTTGGGCAGAAAATATTCGACCTATGATCCGTCTGATAGAGGAGACCCACAGAGGAGTTAAAGGTGAGACAGTGTTTCTGAGATTTCATCGGAATTCGTAGCGCGGATTCCGATACACGTCTACGAGCTTCCAGCAGCGTGTTTCCTCCGTTTTGCGATGGAAGTTGACTCGAAGCTTATAGATCCCATCTGCGGCTCCCCTCTTCCCCTGGCTCTGAAAGATCATATGATTCCGGAATTCGCAGTTCTCTGCGCATTCCGACACGAAGAGAAGATCTCCCTCCCAGCTCTTATCACAAAGCTGACATCCACGAAAAAGAAGTGATTGGATTCCATCGCAAATCCAGATGTACTAATGAGACTTCAGTAACTCACCTGAATCGTGCCGATACTAGAATCGGAGCAAAAATCTTCGTCCCCGTTTGTATCGGTTAAATATCGGCGACCGAGCGGCAATAATTATCAATTCGTCTGCCATGAGGCAGGCGTCCGTGAGAGCAATCGTATTTGAAGCAATAGAAGTCGTCCGGTTTCTCGGTTCGCTTATTGGCTACCTGGCCGCCCGATAAATCTTGAAACGGTGACAGCGACAGCCATTTCTAACCAAGGTCACTGTCCCAGAAACCCAATAACGCCATTCCGAATATCGACGGACATTTTGCTTCACTCGATCAGGCTGTTACGCAACTAATCGACATTTGATCGATTGGGATTCCGAGTCCTTACATAGTGTCGGCTGATCGTAGCTTGTGACCAAAATCATATACAACCCCCTCCGAGTTCCGAGGACTCACTGCGGAACTCCATCCGGTAGACTAGGGTCTTCTGTGCTAGAAGTTCGGGAGGTATACTCTCCCTGACGGATGGATGAATGCTTCCTTTCTTCATTTCCACCATTGAATATCTGTACGTGCCGGACGTCCCCAACCCGAGGATGCGCTCAATGTCTATGGTCCGCAATCGGCATCAGACAGGATATTGCGCCACTAGCGGAAGCTGGTCGTGGTTCATCGCACTCTGATCTTTCATGGTCACGGACTCTTTTCATCCAAGACGCTCACTCTTCCGTCTAGACTGTAGGGAGGGAAGGGGTTGAAGAATCGCTCTGAATCCTGATTGACGAACCCCATGAGAATGGAGAGAGAGCAAAAGAATACTTCCCTCCGTGCAAAAACCTGACTCGTCACAGTCGAGACCGCAACGCGTGATCCGATATCGCTCATTCCAAGTTTCCAATCTTTCGCTCTCGACTCCACGCCGAAGGTCGCTTGGGTGTCGAGCTGCCTTCCAGAGCTCGCCATGCTCTCCAACAACCTGTCCGACTTTATGCATGTGGTCGGCTCTGGATGATTGGGGCTGCTGGTGAGTCTGCTGAGGGGGCGTCGGGACCCATTAGTCGAAGGAAGAGAGTCAAGGTGCTTGACACTGGAGAAAGCTCCGTCCGCACATCGCTCTTCGGGCTGATTTCATCGGAGCTCGGACAAGTCTTCATACTCAAAGCGTGAGATCCCCGAGAGAACTCTCGCAAAAGTCCTGTCCGACCGGAATCGACATTCATCCAGGAGCCACTTACGATATACACCTGAGACAAACGCTGGAGAGTTTTCTTCGAGCGCCTCGATGGTGTAGAGTGTTGCGCAACAAGCATGGTCTATCATTAAAACTGCGTTTTCAGGCATTATTTCGGACGACCACGGAGGACCTATAGGAGGTGCGCATCTCGTCATCAAGGAACGACAGCAAGTTGCTTTCCACACGTCACCAAGAGGTAAAATATTCTGGATGGAAGGCGTTTCCGGTACCCCGAATAAGAGCTCTCGATTCCAATATCTCACATCGACTCTCGGAATAATGGATCAAGACAAATAATCAACGCCGAATACTCGCTCAGCCGACATTGAGGGAATCGGTTCCGTCAATGGCGAGCTTTCGCCTTTCGTGGATGGCTTCCGATGCCGTTCTGCATCGGGTCTCCGAGGCAGACGTCAAGAGAAAAATTGAAAGGCACCGAAAATTCCATTCGATATCGAACGGCCAAGTCTATATCGATTCGGAAACGGAAGCTCGCCTCAATTGAGCTTCATACATTTTCATCCATTCATCCGCTTATCTCCCGGCGTCTCGAGAAAAGTGATATTATGTGAGGTGAACGTTTTTTCACAATCGAATCACCCCGACTGCGTCGTTCCACAGGAGAATTCTGGCGGATTCTACTTCCGGGCGCTTACACTCTGCTGGTGTCCGCCGAAGGATTCCAAACGACGGAGACACCTTTCACAATCGTCGAAGGTTAGTTTCCGCCGCATGAACACATAAATCTCCCAGCGTCCGAGGAGGGACTCGATGACGGCGTTTCTGCAATTCTTGATTTTTCGGACACATTCATCGTGATTGGACCGTTGAATGTTAGATCGCATCTTAATTCGCAGGTTCGGAATTTTGAGCGAGCTGCTTGACAAGAAGTTCCGTCTTTCAGGTCACAGTGCAGTGCTGAACATCACACTCAAGGCTTTCAACCACCCGAGTAATTATCTCGTGGGCGACGGAGACAAGTTGGCAGGTTAGTTTTTCTACGAGCACGACTGAATCTTTTCCCTCCACGCAACCTTGCGAGGATTCAACGCACAGAGCCACAATTAGGAATAGTCTCTCGATCTCCCTAATTGAGCTTTTTCTCCAACTTTTCCATCAGGAAGCGCAACAGGACATCATTTCGGTCATTTCTACGAACCGGTACCAGCCGCTTCGACCCCGAAAGGTTCGTGCTCAGAAGCGGTCATTCGGCCGGATCTTTTCAATATTTCCGTATGAGCTTCCGTGGTAGCGATTCCCGAACTGGATAAGTACACTTATCGCATTTCGGCCAAGCATCGAAATCTATTTCGCGACGCCTCGAATCGATGAATGGTTTTTTCGGGGAATGTAGGAGCTCGTGGCTCTCGCGTTCCGCCGCATTTATGGCCTCCATTGATCGAACATTCTATTTCGCAGCTTCCTGGGCAGGACGGCTCCTCTCGTTCTTGAATCCGTCTCGCAGAAGTTGATGCAGATCGATGGAACATCGAACCCTATCATGTAGCCAAACTCTCACAACATAGATATATATTGAATTAATCTCATGGTTTCTGGTTGGAGCTCCATAAGACTTAGCTAGTTCGGGTCCTGAAAGCAGGCTGACTGCATTTTGGGTTAGGTTCTGAGATATCGAAAGATCATGCGTGGACGAATCGTCGGATCGGAACAGCTATATCGGGGAATCTCCGTGAGTTGAGTGTTCAATCCAGCTGGATGCATAAGCAAGGTTGCTTGGTCAGACGAAGCCAAGGGAGACTTGATATATTCTGGAACTTCTTGAAGCCTGGAAACCGTCGTGAGTTGGAATTTCCGAATCAGTTGTAGCCGCATGGATGAGCGGCCGAAAATAAAGTATCGGAGCCCCTATTTTATGCTTCGTTTTGCTTTCACGTTCCTCACCAGCATTCGACGGATCGATCGTAAAGCTCTAAAGCTTCGCCCCACGCGATCATTAGGGGCGCTCCGGGTGGGAAAACAATCATCGAGCCTCTTATCTCCCGCTTCTCTTGGATAGATGATCGAGGGATATTCTCTCTGTGGGCAATACGGAAGAGTTTCCGTCACATATGTACACATATCGAGGCGAGCATATACGCTCGATTCGGGGAAACGGTGCTCCACCTTCCAGGATTGCTTCTCAACGAATTGTACAGCAGAGCGATAATGACGAGTTCCGAATCTAGAAGAGTTTACTGAACGTCCGATTTGATCGATTCGGCCGTAGATGCGGGAACTTAATTCTGATTCTGGAAAAGCTCGACGGGAGCGAGAATCGACAGCGATCAGCTCTGTAGTCTGATCGACGGCAGTCGAGGCTCTGTGTCATCGAAGTGTTCACGGTGGAGTGTGGGCCGCTCACCGTGTGAGACGATGGAAAAATACAGCGGAGACTCGCAAGAGCTCACCGAACCGCAGATCATCACCAAAAATACATCTCTCGGTCAGGCGAAAGAGCCATCGACAAATATCGTCAACTGATCCTGCTGCTGCTTTCATGGTGCCGTTACGCACATTAATTGGCCAGGACGATGTCGACAGACTCAATCACACAACTGTGGCGAAAGTTTTCGGGGACTGCTTCTGTCTTGCTACTGGGGATTCCACAAGACTTTTGATATGTCGTCAGGTCGGTCGTTCCGAGTCAGTGAATCGGTCCTTTCCCAGCCAGTACTGAGAATGCCCAGGCAATCCATACTTTGACCGTTTCGAATTTCCACAGCAAATCGAAAAAATCAACGAGGTCGCTTCGGAAATCCCAGGGCTCCGGTAAGTCCCGACAGGCAGAAAGAAACTTACCCTCTTACCGACGGCATATTGTCAAAGCGAGGTTTTCTTCCGAGGAAGAGCCTTCGACCTCGATATGCCTTCCGCTCTGCTCACGACACTCGTCCGGAGCGGAGCCAGGATCCCCTCCCCAGGAAACACATGCGAGGCAAGAAGATGCCGGGTTCCGGAGGTGAGCCGCTTAGTCACGAAGTCTCCCGATCTCTGAGCGGAGCGCTAATGTCAGCGAATGCGCACCGCCAGTTCATTCAGATCTTCGACTTGAACGTCCAAACTCACAGAGAGAACATGAGCGCTGTGGCTCACCAGGTTAGTCCCTTCGTAGCACTGAAGTATGTTCCGACTGGCAGTTGCGAGATGGAGGAAGCAATGCATCCTCGCCACTGCAGCAAGGTGCCACCCGGGTATGCCTTTCCGGAAGATAGAGAGAATCGGGAGACACATGATACCATGATCGAAATGGTATACAGTGAAAGCTCATTATAACGACTCCCATCACAACGAATTCCTCGGTACAACGAACAAGGAATTTCTTCTGCCAGCTCGCCATAGGGATAGTGTTGAGCGGCATTCGTTACATCGAAAACTCGGTACAACGAAGCAGTTCCGTCGATACCTTCGTGTTCGTAGTAACGAGCTTTTACTGTAAACACCTGGGTGAAAGTAGTATTTAATCGGTCACGCCGAGATGCGATCGGGAGCACAAAGATGAATGGAAAACGGTTGTTCTATCCGGGGTCTCGACTACTTCAATTGCCCCTTACGCAACTGTCGAAGCATAGACATGCGGTGCATGTGGTTTCGATTGAGGTAGTCACGAGTCCAGCGGTTCCCCTGAGCGATCCGGGAGGAGACGGAAGAATGCGCATCTTAGAGTTCGGGCTCCCCCGATATTTCTGACGGCGCTCAAGGATCCTCGACTCGGATTCGACATATTTTCCAGTATGAAATATAGGATCCAGCTCTGGAGATCACGGTCGGGGACGTCTTATATTCAAAGAAACTATTCCTGGCTCCGCGTAACAATGTGCGAAACACTGAGCGAGCTTGGCGAGCCGTCGGGGAGAGGCCGATGACGCAACACGAGCACAAGCGTACGGCCATTAATTCGATTTCTTACCACTACCGAGCAGATGTTCACATCTCAGATTCACTCCGTGAATGGCGAACATTGTTTAGTTTATGATTCATTCATCCGACTGCGTAAAAGGAGCATGCGGGTGATGAACGGAATATCTGGTCTGACAAAACGCTCTCAACGATACCCTCTCCAGCTCCAATCTCTGGACAATGTGTCCGCGCTCCCGGGAGCCCATACCATCTCTAGCCAAACGGGAACCTCCGCGGATCAGTGCCAATCGATGGTAAGACTTAAGTTGTTCCCGGAGAGATTGTGGCTAAGTCCTTCAACCCGTAGTCAGAGCGTTCTCTCCCTCCACGGTGTCCGAGAGATCGCGCGATGGAGTCCCTCCGGCAGCGAAAATCCACAGAATCCGCACAGGAAAGAGCGGCTCCCGGCGATCCCTACCTATGAAAGCAAAGAGATCGAGGGCTGCGAATTTCCGTCACGAATGGAAAAGGAGGAGAGTGGTGAGTGAACCAGGGTTTATCGATTGAAAATCCCCCTGGAGGGCTCCGATTACGAAAATCCACACGGTGCTTTCGCGGGTTCCCTGAGTTCCGTCGATCCGAATGCCTGGAAGCTGGTAATCCTACAAAAAGTTCTTCACTCTACCGATCGTGATGTGTGCGTACATGCTGCACATTCCTTCCTCGAGAGAAGGCACGGACTTGCAAATGTTGGGGGGTCAAGGTTTAGATTTATTAGAGCCGTACTCGGAAGAGCCTTGGACAAGGGATGTCTAGGATGACAGAAATATACCGCGGATGACTCGCCATGGCTCAGCGAACGAATCATCAAGAATACACCGCTCGGTAATGCGAGAGGGTCATCATGATCCGTTCGTTGAACGTCGTCAAGGCACCATACTGTTTGTTTTTCAGTGTCATGTCGCATTTTCCTCTACCGGTGCGCTGACGGAATACTCAATCAGACAAGCCGACTCTTGGGACGACTTCCCTCCCTGACCTGGAATCTTGACGGGAGAGGTCGAAATCGTCGTTCCGAGTCTCTGCGACGTAGTCATCTGCTCGGGCGCGTCTCAGACAATGCGAAACTTGGAGTGCATATGTTAGAGAGGCTCTCCGGATCTAGGTCTCTCCATGCTGATGAAGGAATCTCGGAATGTCCATGCCGTCGAATTTGGGTTCGTGTTATGCAAACGGGGAGTATCCTCATACATCTTGCCCGCTCTTACAGATATTCCGAGACTACTTACGATTTCGGGACCTCTGAGAGCAGCCGACGATGAGCGAACGAGCCAAAAACTCTCCGTACGTCAAGATCGGTCACTACACTCTTGGGCACACCATCGGGACGGGCACCTTTGGCAAGGTGAAAATCGGAAAACACCAGCTCACTGGATCCAAAGTCGCTATAAAAATCCTCAACCGTCAACGAATCAAGAACCTAGATGTCGTCGATAAAATCAAGAGAGAGATCCAGAATCTCAAACTGTTCAGGCACCCTCACATCATCAAAATGTATCAAGTGATATCCACCCCGACCGATATATTCATGGTGATGGAATACATCTCAGGAGGTGAACTATTCGACTACATAGTCAAACGAGGACGGCTGAAAGAGAGTGAAGCCCGCCGGCTCTTCCAGCAGATTATCTCAGCGGTAGATTACTGCCATCGCCATCGTGTGGTGCACCGCGATTTGAAACCTGAGAATGTTCTACTCGATAAAAACAATAACGTCAAAATCGCCGATTTCGGACTCTGCAACTTCATGATGGACGGAGAGTTCCTGCGCACGTCCTGCGGCTCTCCGAACTACGCTGCGCCCGAAGTCATATCCGGGAAACTCTACGCCGGGCCGGAGGTAGACATTTGGTCCTGCGGTATTATTCTCTACGCTCTGCTGTGCGGGAGACTGCCGTTCGACGATGAGCACGTCTCGCTCCTGTTCAAGAAAATCAATGCCGGTGTTTTCTCGATACCCGATCATCTCGCGAAGCCCGTGGTCAGCTTGCTGGTGCACATGCTCCAAGTGAACCCGATCAGGAGGGCAACCGTCGATGACATAAAAAGCCACGACTGGTTCAAGAAAGATCTTCCGGCGTATCTGAACTCCCCCCCGCACGAAACGCTCGACGCTTCGATCGTTGACCTCGATGCGGTCGACGATGTTTGCCGGAAGTTCGGAGTCCAAGACAAGGAGGTGCATTCCGCTCTGCTCAGCGACAACGTACAGGAGCCCTTAGTGACGGCTTATCATCTGATTGTCGATAACAAGAGAATCGATAACGAGACGGAGAAATTCAAGGAGTTCTACGTTGCGTCCAGTCCGATGGCACACTCAGGCTGCTTGGATCCGATGACCGCGGGTCACCTGCATCCAGAGAAGCTCGCCGGTGGCCGCTTCTGGGAAGCCCAGCGGAGGGCCAAGTGGCATCTGGGCATACGGTCGCATTCACGACCTGAGGAGATCATGAAGGAGGTTTATCGGGCGATTAAAGCGCTAGATTTCGAATGGAAAGTCGTGAATGACTACAACGTGCGCGTTCGACGGAAGACCTTGCCGAAGCTACACTATACGTGTATGGAGCTGCAGCTGTACAGAGTCGATGGCAATAATTACCTTCTGGACTTCAAATCGCTCCCGTATGCAAGCGAGCAGGTGCCGGATCCGAATGTACTCAATGAAGCTCCTCTGACGTTACACAATCACATGGGATTCCTCGAAATGTGTACTTCCCTGATCACGCAGCTCGCGCGGTAGAAGATCGAGAGAGAAGAAAATCATTCCAATAGACTGTTATTTAAAATCGACATTTGATATTTCAGACTTCTTTCTTATGTAAAAAGCAGCGACTTATCTTCCGGAGAATAAATCTCGCAAGCTCTATCATTACGCGAAAAAACTCTAATACAATTCCATGCTCTCGAATTTGTCGACGTCCGGCTACTATGACGGAGTCGACGTTTCATATCAAATCTTAAACACGGCGTTTCGTATTCGAAATATGGCAAGAGCACAACGAAGAAAGCTGATCTGTATCTGATGTTTCCGGGACCAGTTCCCTCTGGCCGGAATGACCGGCTAGGATCACAATTCATCTCTCCTCTCAGCCGCACCAGACTCGGATGAGTTGCATCAGAATGAGTCGTCGGACTCCTCGGAAAGCGAATCCGTCGACGACAGATCTTCAGCCTCCCGAACAGAGTTCGATTGCAAGCGAGACGCGCAGGCAATCACTTCGAGCCCTTGAGGTGTGAAGAGGCGCACCGATGGCACATGATTACTATCCTCAAAGAATACGTCGAAAACACCGGTCCGGAGGAGAACAGAAAGGTATTCCTCATCGAGGCGGCTGTATTCGTAGGTCAAGATTACCTTCATAACAAGGGAAGGCTCCCTGCAATCAGAAACGAGCACAGTCGTCATAAATCCACAGATAGAAGCGAAGCACCGGACCTCGCTCGATATATGCATTGTGATGGGTCAAACTCGTAAACCTTCCGATTGAGGGGAATCAACTGGTCGATAATTGAATGATTGATAGGTCCTTAGTTCAACTAAATGATCGATACCTTTTCCTTAGAGGTTTCAAACGAAAGTAGTCCAATTCGAAGGGCTGGCCGGTGTCCACGCAGCGAACGACAGCTCTTAATCCTCGCAACTCCTCAATCTTGACCCTCGTCTTGGAGACTTTCTTCGTATCGGGATGCTTGAACTCGGCTAATCCAAGGTCACCGACGTTCCGGGGAGGAGGCAAGTTCTCCTCATCCTCTGCCGGGATCTCGCTCACATCGCTCTCAAACGGTGCTGCATTGTGTACGATGAAGAGGGTCAAGCGCTCGACATGCAACACTGAGCAGTTCCTCAGCATGCTATACGCTGGCGGGAGGTAAATGCCGGGTAGTTTATGAAGCCTCTGGATTTTGCGGCTGGGGCAGCGTTCTGGCACGATCTCCGATTTGGTATCTGTAAGATGCGTGAGATTTGTACGACTCATTGTGGGCCGATAGCTCGTCTCCCGGAGACACTTGATCTCGAACATCGGAGGAGTGCGGGGAGAACGGATCCGAAAGCATAGCTGGGTTCCCTTACTCACCGAAATCGCTGTCGAGAAGGCTCAAGGATACGACGGGTATGCAACCCCATTTAATGATTCGCACCCTCGTCCTGGTCCAAACGGACAGGAGCTCGGAGTCCGGACAGTCCGTCTCGAGGCGACATCTGCGGCGAGAATTATCGATCTCTTATCTCCATCTTGAATACACCTAACAATCTTGAGGTTTATTTGTTCTCGCCATCTCGCAAGGTCCTGAGTCCCAACCGATTCCAGGCTTGAATCACGCGCCTCCCACACACCGTCGGATATCGGGTCGTGTCCCGCAAACAGACTGTTTACAGTCAGCCGTAGTCTCTCGAGCGCACTCGGCCGCCTACCTGAGAGACGTTCCAAATTCAGGTCTGAGCTTTTCGGGACGGATATTGCTTTACTGTCTCGTCTCCGATCCGTCTTTGGGTTCGACCGGATTCTCCGGCCGTTGATTCTGCTGTCTGCGATTGAGTGAGCTAGCACGAGGCCGGGAACATGGCGAGTATTCGATGCGCGACCACAGAAGATCTCATGAACATGCAGCATTGCAATTTGCTTTGTTTGCCCGAGAACTACCAGATGAAATACTATTTCTACCACGGGCTGAGCTGGCCGCAATTGAGTTACGTTGCCGAAGATGAGCGGGGCGACATCGTCGGTTACGTTCTCGCAAAAATGGAAGAGGAGAACGAGCGTGATGATGCAGAACCTCACGGACACATAACTTCACTCGCGGTGAAAAGATCTCACAGGTAATGCTATCAGATGACCGCTCGATAACCTACGCTCATTTAAGGTTTCGGTCGAGTCCACGTATTCTCAAAATAGCTCGGCAACTGCCCATGATCAATGCTGAGAGAACATCTGCTGAAAACTTCGATGATTCGCGAGGCTCTGCTGAGAGTATATCTCTCTTATAGGCGGTGCGGATTAGCAAAGAAACTCATGGACCAGAGCAGCCGCGCAATGGTTGAATGTTTCAACGCAAGATACGTCTCTCTGCACGTACGCAGGAGTAACCGAGCAGCACTGAACCTGTATCAAAATACTCTAGGTGAGATGTCAGAATAATTTCCATGATTTTCCCCAATCCTTATCCGCTCCAAGAGCCCGCGATGGCGCAATATCCAAAGGGGACATACGTATTCTAATTTCCATAAACAGGCTTTGCCACCTGCGGTATCGAGGCCAAGTATTACGCGGATGGCGAAGACGCTTTCGCCATGCAAAGAGACCTCGGTAAATTCGCCTCAGAACTCAACCTCACGCCTGCCAATCCAGAAACATTCAACCAGGTTCGAACGGGCGGCAAGAAGAAAGAAAATCTAGCGCACGACCAGACTGTCTGAGTGAATAAATAACTTATCAAAAAACCGCCCGACTAGCGTTTAATGCGTTGAATGTCCGACCTAGAGGTGTAGCTCCCATCAGAAGTGTGAAGCGTGTCTCTCAGGGTTTAAAATATTATCAAGAAATATATGGAGGATAATTTTGGAGGATCGCTTATCAGAATTCGCGATTTCTGAATCCTAGCATTGTCTCACCTGATGGCCTGGTTAGGGATCGCCAATAAGTCTGTAGAGGGAAGAAAGACTGCTTGCAGGCCGGTTTTCTCAATGGCACCGCTATCGACGTCAAGGAACTCGACCTCGTTGCGAGCGGAATCCTGCGACATTACAAGTCCCCTGCGGAGAGATTTTGATAGATAGAGCTAGACACCAGATAGGGACGCGACTCCTGAGGTTAGCTTGAGCTCTCTCAGGGTGTACTTCGAAACCAGTTTTTCGGTTATTCAGCCGATTTCGGAACAAAGCTCCGAGTACCTCTTCCTCACACCACCGTCAGGGACGACAAGAATGGGCAACCCTCTTCTCAAATCACTGAGAGGTTCCAGATCGGTCTCCGACATGGCTTTCTCGAGTTTCTTCCGGAATACATCCAGCGGGCGGATCCACACCTGGAAGAAGAGCCTTATTCCCAAGATTCGCAAGCCCCATGCGGATGTTCATCTCCGATGCACCGATGTCCCGGTGCTTTGTAGAACATGCACACTCAATGGAAGAGCGACTGAGCGACCTCGTCCCTTCGGGCAAGCGCGAACATCGCGATCCCCTCATCGCTGGTTCTTCGATTATAGCTTTCCCATGAGATAGAGGGTCGGTCGAGACTGGAGCTCCGAGCCGACGACAGGAAACTTAGATGATTACCGCCGTGACGACTGGAGGAATAGAGGGTAGGATACGTATCTCGGGCTCCGAAGCGGACTCACATCCTTCTTGTGAAGTGCGTTAAGACGCGCTTCGAATTCCTCGTGATCGTCGAAAAGCCTCCGTCTCGCTTTCACATAGCATGGTAAATAGAATGGAAGACGTTGTTCGCTGTGACTCGGCCGACTAAGCAGCTGGTGCTCTGACCCGGCCTCGGGAGGCCCTCTTCTGCGTTTCCCAAATCTCGAGACCTGGAAAAAATCTCCAGAATGTACACAAGAGGGATTCCTTCCATAACGTGAAGAACCGAGGTTGCCCGAAGCGGTTAATTGCTCGTCATCTCTTACCTCCTTCTTCGTAGTCGGTAATTGTACCCCATCTGGGAGGTTCCTGAACAAGCCACGTGAGCTGACACGGGCAGTGGGCTCCGTGGAGGTTTCGGGTCTTTCGAAGTGCCAGAGAGGCACGGGGGCTCTAATTCCTCCCGGATCTTGGCAGGAGAGAGAAGAAACCCGTCTGATAGCTTTACAGGGCTCGAAACTAAAGTAAGCTGAGAGCATATTCTCAGTTTCGCGTTGACGGAAATCAGTACAGCTCTGCAAGGAAACTCACCCCTGAAAGGAAACATCACGGAAATTCCCGATGTTTGCGTCTCTCCGGTGATGCTCGAATCCTGGGCAGCAGACTATTATTCGATCACTGTTGATTTGTGTCGAGAATGTTCATAGGTTCTCTTTGGAGACACGCGCATATGCGGACACTTTTTTGTGGAATCGAATTCTAGCGGAGCTTGTTTACGGACTTCTTCGTTCCCTCTCGAGGAGAAATGTGACACTCAGGGAAACTCAAGCACGCGCGCTCAAGTCGGTTGTCTGATTTATTCTGAATGCTTCTGCTCTGAATGCTTCCGACAACGAACTTGGCGGTTCGCGTGGACCGGTAGACACTTGCGTCTTTCAGTTCCTTCATTTCCGTTGGGCAGTGAAATGATGTTGATGAGCAGAAGATTAATAATTTATTCCGTGCGAAGTTGGAATGTCTCCTGGACTATTCATTGAGCACGGTGAGGGGAAGGGAGACACGAGCTCTCGCAGATACATCGCTCGACGGCAGTCATAGACGTCTCGCTAATATCGAACGTCACCAGAACTGTCCTCGGTTGGCGAAGCAGGAAGTCTTCATCCAATACAGAGACTGAGCTCGATGAGCCTAGTCGACGAAACTCGCCGATTATCCTGCTCTCTGGAATCGGACCCGCGCCTCACCTTCCTCCATTTCCTCATTTCTCCATTGAATTCATATCTTCACATGCCGACTTCTGGAGGCTTCGACCTGCTTATTGTAGGTAACTCTTGTTGTGAGAGATTAAGGAGGAAGGAGTGCCGTTTTCGCCGCTACCGTTGCGGGGTGCTACCGGGATAAGCCGACCTTTTCTACCTACAAGCTCATTCCGAACAAGAAGCGTGACCGGAGACTTCCGGGAAGAACTCCGAGCCCTCTGTCTTTGATGAATCGAGAAGAAAACCTGAGATCGCTGACTTTGGAGGATCACAGTTCTACCGTTGAGGGCTGTGGGAGCAACGAGGAGGAGGGTCCCAGAGTTTGCCATCCTTCAGATTGCACGACCGATTAGAATCATCTCGAAGAGGGCTTCCCGCCTTCATTTCCAAGTGAGATTTAACTCTGAATCGGGCGGAATGAAATCGATGTGCAGAGTCAAACTCAAGCATGGAATTTCTGTCGTCCGAACAAACCGCGTGAACTTCGCCTCGTGAGTATGGGCTGGGTAGTTCACGAACTTCAGGATGGATCAGAGACCGATGGGTAGTCACTGACTCCGCGAGGACCTCGCACATCGAGGAGTCCCCGGGACCGATCCTATGAGATGTCGGAAAGGAAAAACAATAATCTAGAGGAGAACGGAAAAGCCCTTTCAATCTATAGATCACCCCAGAGCAGAGAAACTTTCCGACTTTCATCATCGGCGCGACGTGGTATTGCTCACTCAGGTTGACGGAGCAACCCCGACAGCTTTCGATTAGAAGAATGCGCGCGGAGACTTCTCTATCGCTTCTCCATTGAACGCGGACTGGTCGAGAATGACTGCTCTCCGAGCAAACAAAAACTCAGGTCCAGGAATTAGAGCTATATAGCATCAACACCAGAGATTATCTGTTTTCCCTGAGCGAAGACTTGGACGTTTCCTGAGTACTAAGCGACCGCTCGGAGCCGGTTAGCGAGTCAAGTAATCACGTGGGACTATTCCCGCTGCCTGATAATATAGTTATTCCTTGAAGGTCAGCATTACACTCTGAGCTCCTTCCGACATCCTTTTGACCTTGATGGTTGTTCCCTAGACTCATCTACGCGACTCCCTTGGATGAACTAAGAGCAAAACCTGAGCTTCGTGTGAGGAGCATGCTCATGGATTTTTATATCCTCAGAAGATCTCCGCCACGAGTCTTCTTCGTACAAGGAGGAACGATCGAATGACGTCAGGAGAGAACAGTTGCCTTAGGATCCCCGTTCAAGCGATAGCGGCGGAGCCATCATTCAAACATTTCCATCGTACGTCACTGCTTACGGTGACATCCTGTTCTCGCCATCAAACAGCCACGACGAACCATCGAGCGACGGTTTGCATGCTTTCATTCTCTGCCCCGACTCATTTATTCCCAGTGCGCTTGAGCTCATGGCTCGAGGGAGTAATCGATAGCTCGGTTTACTCCGGAGCTAATGGATCTGATCTAGCTCCATTCTTAGCATTTGGAATCCATCAATCGATCCGCGACCCCGAATTCTCGAGATAAAATACAAAAAGCCAAAAACCGTGTTTCGCGTGACACGCCACTGAAATGGGGCAAGCTTCGTGCTGAGAATTTCCGATGAGATTCGGAGCTCCGCCGGCCTCGTCGATGTCTTGTTCAGTGTGATCCCATTGCCGCGGAAATAATTGACTCCAGACTCTGAGTAGACAGCATAGCCGCGTCCAATGAAAAAATGGAGCTGTAAGGGAGTGAAAGAAGAAGGTGAGTGCGCCTCGACGGGAGTATCGTCGGAAGATATCCAGACTGGAGGAGTTCCACATAGAGTCTTGAAAAGAGGATCCGAGGCCGAGTTGGAGCCCTATTGCACTCAAGATTCGGGAAAATCCCCCGATGGCGTGGATATCTCCCCTTCACCTACGCGGACACCTCTGCATTAGTCATGCAAGAGGGAAGCCGTTTATGAGCGCGGGGATTCTGGACTGTGGATTTTCCAGGGAGGCCTGCGATGCTCTGGAAAATCCGAATCTGGTAGATAGCGGAGAGTTATCGTATCTTCATCCATATCTTTTGTTGCCTTCTGTGTATCGCTCAGGGCACGGATTGGTGGCTCGAAGATGATTCAGCAATCTTCGATGTCCGCTTCACTCGCTGCTCATGCGATTTGATTTGAGCGAAGAAGCGCATGCGCGGACAAATCGGAATACCGAATCCAACAAACCGCATACATGGAGAAGCATTCCGATGCCCGAGTCGCGGAGGCAGGGACCTAAACTCATTCGGTATTCATTCCGGGGCTCAGAGGTGCTGCGGAACCACGATTCACAATTTATGTTCAGCTTTCGCCCACTTACGGTGAAGCATGTCATCAAGTCAATCCTTGTGATCATCAGGTTCTGCCTGAAGGGCGAATGAGGCGACAGAGTCCCACCCTTGTGATCCTAGGAACGAGCTGTGAGCGATGGATATAGCTGGTAATCGAAGAGCTGACGTTCGTAACATAAACCGACTTGGGAAGACATCCAGATATCCAATTTGAGAGAGCTCAACAAGCGGCAATCTCGTTGCTACTATGGCGCGCTGTCACAGTGACGTGATACCGGAGCCGGAGCTCTTCGGAGAGTTTCGCATTCTCGGAGCTCCTAAGCAGTGTTCGGCCTCCCCCTCCTGGGTGTCCGTTGTGTGTCCGAGCAATCCTCGCGAATGACATTCCCTGAGTTGAATTTCTATCGCGAAATCTTCTTTCTCTCGATGCTGAAGTCGGTAACGGCGCTCCCTGGAAGTTTTGCCCGGGGCAGACTCCTTCCCCATGATTCCGCCCCTGACCGGCGCTCCTCTCGGAGTTGAAACCTTTCCGAAGTCATGCGGTCTGCGGTTAATTCGCGGCTCATCGCGCTTATGGCCATCACAGAGTATCAGCTCCAACGCAGAAGTCTTGGAGGGACCGCAATCGAGGATGGATTCCGATCGGAACAACAGTGTCGGCGTATGATTCCATCTCATTACGGCAATTCTCTTCCGGATGCAAACACGCCCAGGGCGGTACGCCGTGCGGTAGCTCGGTGCAATGCGTAAAGACAACTCGAGCTACGTGTGAGGGAATGACGAATGGCGCAATTTGGGGTCTCCATTCATGACTGGGGTTTCGTAAGCTCGCAGACATCTTTTGTTAAAGGAGAATATCGCTTATCCGCCGTCTCCTGCAGATGCCCCCCTATTAATCATCCGTGTTCCTCGGATTCATATTGGCGCCTGCAGCTGTCGTTCTATCCCTCGCCCTCGGTGTTGCCATCATGAAGTTGTGATAGACCGTGTACTGCGGACTCAACAGGCGGCAGTGCTGGAATGGAAGGAAAGGAAAGAGGAGGGTAAAGACTTCGGCGGGAAGGGGACGGGCCTCCAACCGAATGGAGGAGGGATTCGAGAGGACAACTGCAGGACTCCTCTGCGGCTGAAGCTCGGCAGGGCAACGCAGACCGAAACGCACACAGAAACAATATAGTAAAATAAAGAACTCGAGCGTCGGAGCCATGCATTTCTCTTCCTTTTCCCGAGGTCGCGCGGAGCTGCTTTCGTGGCTGCCGTATACCGAAAGGTCGCAGCCCGACGTTTCAGAGATATTTATACGGTCTCCCGCACGAGTGAATTCCCGAGAGAGGTTTTGGCGGACAAAATCGAATTCGCGCCATCAGACAGTAACGCACCGTTGGCGAGGAGAACGCCATTCCCGTCGTCTACGTGGATTCTTTTTCGTGATGCATGTCACTCAGGGCCTGGATCGTCCCGGACAAACTTGGTTGCCGACTTATACGTGACAGTTCGGTGACATCTGCTTTCTGCGTCACGCTCCGCCACGTCTGAGAGCGCTCGCATACCTAGAAAAACTGCCACTCCGCAACCTGTAGATACAAAGCTTGGATCGAGGAATTTCCGTCCTCGCTCGCTCCGACAGTCGGTTGATCGATTCGACCCGATGTCGATTCGACGCGACCGGAGCTCCTGTTTGTTTGCTCAGTACTCCTAATGAATTACCGATGACGCTCCGATTACAATACGAATGAAGCTCCTCGATCCAGCTTGCGAGGCACTCAGTGAAGGAACGAGACCTATGAACAATGATTTATAGCCAGCTGATCGCATAATCGGCCGTCGGACGAGAAATTCGACGAGACGGAGCAGTCATGCTCGTTCAAGACGTCCCTATGTCGTTTAGTTCCGTCTTTGAGGCGGCATCGATCAATACTATTGCATACGTTTCACGCAATTCAGTCAAGGGACCGGGAACATCTGACTGAGTCCCGACTGAAGGAAACGACACGCGTAGCATCGAAGATGACGCCTTGACGAAATCGAAAAACCCATCCGCTCTCTTATGGCAATTTTGTCCAGAAAATCAAAATTCATCGTCTGCGTTCGAAAGTCGGCTCGCATTCGACAGGAACGTCAGCAGCGAGTGTATGAGCGCCTGTCTGTCGCTTCAGACGAAACGGCCGCGGACAATGACCCGAATATGTAGTCTCGTTCCTATCCACATGGAAATCGTAAGTGGTTGGTCCATCAGCGGAGCAGACATGTACCGCTCACGCCGTGAAGGTCGGGGAACAGGGATTGGGGAATCAACTCGGTTTTCGTGCTCGGCGCCGACTCTTTCCGACCGGCTGTGGAACAAGGATCGCGAGCTGGAGAGACACAAGGTCCACCGCTCCTCGGCCCGCGCGGAGTTCGCGATCGGCATTCGAATCACGTCTTTCTCCCTGGGGTCGACCGGCGCAGCAACAGAGACCTTCTCACAGTGAAAGCCGTCTTTTGCTGCAGCTTTCTGTGCTGCTGCTGTTCCTCTAGCGTTTGCCGTCGCGGATTCGTCTGTGGCAGCCGAGGCAAGGCTCGGAACCATCGGCAGCCACCGTCAGTCGCGAGCGTTGGCGCCTCTAGACGGGTTAGGGGGATGGAAGTTGTCTGGTTGGAAAGTTCGCGCCAGAGGAGCTCGCTGTTGTTGTTGTCGTGGTCGCGGTGGCCCT